CCTCTGCCTCCCAAGTGCTGGGATTAAAGGCGTGTGTGCTCCACCACTGCCCGGCTGAGATGTTTATTTTTAAGAAAGCACTACTGTTCTGTGTTTCAAGCCCTAACATCTTGTGTAGGAATTGTATAAACTATTCATTAGGCTTTCAGTTCTGAGCAGAAAGATGATCCCATTTGCTTATCCTTAGGGTGAGGTGTTCTGTCTGCATCAGGGCCTGGGGCCTGGGCTTGTAGTTGGTGATAGGTTATTTCTCCACCAGTGAAATAAATCAATTCAAACCAGATTAGAATATACTAAAGGTTTACTGGGAAGCTGCTCTTGGGTGAGTTCACTTGCCTCAAGGATTGAGGCCAGGAGAGTCACTGCGGGGAGAGGCATGGGGGGGAGAAAGGATGGATGCTCAGAGAGAGAAGAGAAGAAGAAGAGAGAGAGTCCAAAATGCCTGGATTATATAGGGGAGAGCCTCTGGGGGTAGAGCAGCCCAGTCCTGGGCTAGAAAGCTCAGGGTTAGGGGCAGCATATGCCAGGGAGACTGAGGGATGCTGGAAGAACTTGCAGAACTTTTTTTTTTTTTTTTTTCGAGACAGGGTTTCTCTGTGTAGCCCTGGCTGTCCTGGAACTCACTCTGTAGACCAGACTGGGCTCAAACTAAGAAATCCGCTTGCCTCTGCCTCCCAAGTGCTGGGATTAAAGGCGTGCGCCACCATCGCCCGGCAAACTTGCAGAACTTAATATGTAAAATATGTACCGTAGTCCCTTGTCCTGGGGTCCCAAATCGAACAGTTTGAACTTTCTAAAGAATGATCAGGTGGAACACGGGAAACAAAAGAGAATTCAGGTGTCTTGCTCAGTCACTATAATAACCTCCTCTGCTCTGAACCAATCCACTCCCAGGAGATCAGAATTAGTCTTTTCCAAGAGTAGGGTCCCCGTGACCTAAGCACTTCCCTCTAGTGAACGATCCTACCATCTGTCATGGTGGTTGCATGGGGGCTGGGCTTCTAGCCCCCAAACCATCTCCATAGGGTAAGCGTGTACCTAGTGTGCTTTGAGCACATTTTTGCTGAAACAGGAATGGTCTTCTCGGAAGAATGATGTGTTGGTTAGTGTCTTGTCAAAGTGACACAGGTTAGAGTCATCTGAGAGGAGGAGCCTCCGTTGAGAAAATGCCACCATGAGATTGGTCCTCAGGTAAGTCTGTGGGGGGATGTTCTTGGGTAATGATTGATGTGGGAGGGGCCAGATCCCTGGGGGTAGAGCCATCCCAGGGCAGTATAAGGAAGACTGAACAAGGTACAGGAGCCAGCCAGTAAGCAGAACTCTTCTTTTTGATCTCTACATCAGTTCCTGTCTCCAGGTGTCTGCCTTGAGTTCCTGCCCTGACTTCCCTCAGTGACGGACTATGATGCGAGCTGAAATGAACCCTTTCCTCCTCAGGTAGCCTTTTGTCTTTGTTAGGGTTGAATTGCTGTGGACACCATAACCAAAACAACTCATATGGAGAACATTTCATTGGGGCTGGCTGACAGGTTCAGAGGTTCAGTCCATTATCATCAAGGTCGGAACACGGCAGCATCCAGGCAGGCATGGTGCAGGAGGAGCTGAGAGTTCTGCATCTTCATCTGAAGGCTGCTAGGAGAAGACTGGCTCCCATGTGCGCTTGGCCCAGAGAGTGGCACTATTAGGAAGTGTAGCCTTGTTGGAGTGGGTGTGTCACTGTGGGTGTGGGCTTTAAGACCCTCATCCTAGCTGCCTGGAAGCAGTATTCTAGCAGCCTGCAGATGAAAATGTAGAACTCTCAGCTCCTCCTGCACCATGCCTGCCTGGATGCTGCCATGTTCCCTCCTTGGTGATAATGGACTGAACCCTCTGAACCTGTAAGCCAGCCCCAATTAAATGTCCTTATAAGAGTTGCCTTGGTCATGGTGTCTGTTCACAGCAGTAAAACCTTAACTAGACACTCTACTTCATCTTTAAAAAGCAAAGTATATTTTTCAAGTATCAACGCAGCCTTCATTTGTTTAAAGGAATCCGTCCAAATGACATTGCTGGGGATAAAGTGAGGATCAACCGTGGCTGCTCGCTCCATATGTAAATACCTCAAATAGCTTAGGGTCACTCGAGTCCTTGGTTCCTTTCTTTCAAAGAACAAGGCAGGTATCTGTGGAGTTGGGTCATACCCTCTGTAGTGACGTACTTTCACACACACACACACACACACACACACACACACACACCCACTGTGCCCACTCTGGTACCCCGGGGCGCTTCTCTTTCCAGCGGTGCTCTTGGTGAGCTCCATGTACACAGGTGTCCTTTACATGGCACCCAAACCACTCAGTTTCTCATTCGTCCAGATCCAAGCACTGTGCTCTCGTGGCCGCTTCAGCCTCTCACCTGGATGGGGAGACCCTATAGGCTATGAGGCTACTGACTCCCCCGCTAATATGTGCTGTGCTCTCTGCTCCATCTTCCTTACAGGGGATTTCCACCCACAGGCAAGAGAAGCAGAAAGGGCAAAACAGAGTATGGTAGAACTACGATACCTCAAGGCACAGTTGGCTGGACCTCAGCAGGTAGATAGCACCTGGTTATTAACCAGTCCCACCCTAGACAACCAAACGCCTCCTTGCTCTCTCCTTTATACTCCTGTGGAGAATCTCTTTTGATTGTTGCTGTTTTCTTAGTGGGGGAAATTAAGAGAGGACGAAGGGGCCTGGTGATATGGTTCTGTGGAGGAACAATGCATCCCATGGGCTCCTTCACAGTACCCAGAAACCACTGACGTTTGAAGCCATTGAATGTCCAGTGGTGCTCCTGGATAGCTGTGTTTACTGTGTTTCCTCCAAACATGCTCAGCTTGTAAGGCACCAAGTGCAAGGGTATGTGTGTGTGTGTATGCGCGAGTGTGCGTGCGCTGAAAACATCTCCATAAACATCACAGCTCTGTTCCAGCCAGTTCCCCAATCAGACTTCAGGACCAATTGACACTGCCCTTCCCAGGGTGGGACTTGCATGCTGGAAAGTCACAAGCACAGTGATTCATTCACCTTAAGAGGACTGCTCATGCTAGGCGGGGTTATCTGTGTGTAAGGCATACATCCTGTTTCCAAGGAAACAAACTGGTCCATCCTAGGTTCCCAGGACAGACAGGAGTGGCTGGAAAGGGAAGTGTTTGCTTCTCTATGAAGGTATGAAGGTTAAAGATCCTTCCCCAGCCTTTGTTCCTGTTGCTCACTGCATTTTATTGCAAAGGAAAGTTTCTTTGGAGCTGATCACATGCTTGAACACACTCCCTTTACCTAGACAGACACAAGTCATTAAACCAGACAACCGTAAGGTCACTTGCTCGTTGAAAGAAGGGCTATCCTTATTTTTAGTTTGCTGGCTCTGATTCTTTTAGAAAACGATTTGCTTCGTTTAGAAGTTAAACTGCGAAATTAGCAGTAGCTAATATTAGCCGATTGTTACCGAGTCCGCACTCAGTTCCAACACCCGAGAAGCTGCAAGCTACTGGCCACTAGCAGGTGGAAGGCCTTTAGATGAGCATACTCACAGTATAATTCAGCTACGCAAGAACCAAGCGCTTCAAAAATACTCATCGAGACTACTCAGATTCGTCCCTGGTAATTCCTAACTCAATCATATCAACACCATTTTCCATCCTGTTTTGCATATAATTTGAAGGCCACTTCTTATTTCTGTTTTATTTTATTTTTTTCATACACCACCCCAAATCAATTCTACTAGCAGATCTGGGTGAGTTTAACCTTCCACACACATCCAGCTTCTGCCTTCCCCTCAGTGTTTCCGGGGCTCCCACTCTAGCTTGTCTCCTCAGTTCCACCCCAAGCTGCTCAGCTGCTGACTCCAGAGTTCTCCTTTGCCCTGGCGTAGCTTGCCCGGAGTAGCAGCAAGAGGAGTCACTAAAATGCAAAACAAGTGGTTCCCCTCTCAAGATCCATCAGGTATCCTACATTAATTTCTTCTCTCACTTGTGTGAGATCTTAAGTGTTCGCTATCTCTTCCAGAATCTTCCATTCCCATATCTGTGACTAGTTCTATCTCATTTCCTGCCACTCTTATCAGATACGTCAGCGTTCTGACAAACACAGCACCTACAATTCTGTTAGTATAGCCCGTCATTTGCACTCAGCCTTGGGGAGTGGGGGACGCAACCAGGACATGGTTGGCGCCTGACTGTCACACACCCTCTGAGCTCTGTAAGCTTGAAATGTGTCACAGTCAGGAAGGTTCTCCTCCCTCCACGCTCCCTAACCCCCGGGCAAAACCCAGCTGGTGCCTTCTTACACGGGGAATCTACAGTCTGATTCTGATTTATGGCTTCAGGAATTTGGTGTAATCGTTAGCTTTAATGGTCAACGTCATCTAACCTAGAATCGTCTGGGAAGAGAATCTCAATGAGGAATTGTTTCGAATGGGTTGGCCTGTGGAACTGTCTGAGGGGCATGGTCTTTGTTGCTTTAACTGAAGTGGAAGAATTCAGCCTGAAACTGTGTGGCACCACTGCTCGGTTTGGCGCCCGGGGCTGTGTAGGCGCGAGCTAGCTGAATGGTAGAAGTGCACGAATTCCTTCTCTCTCTGCTCTTGGCTGTGGGTGGGATGTGACAAACCGCTTCTGACTCCCGCTGTCTCAGTTTCCCCTGCAGTAACTGGACTGGAGCTGAGAGCTAAACAAACCTGTTCTCCCCTCAAGCTGCCTTCTGTTGGGTGTAAATCAGGACGCCGCCATTTTGATGTTCATGGTTGCTTTAGACCTCTGTTGGGTCCCAGAAAAGGATATCTCCAAGTTTGGGCCTGTGTCATGCTAAGTTCTGAAGAATCGAAGGGCCCTGGGGGCAAGTCCCCTTGTGCCCTCCTGCCCTTCTTGGCCCTGGTTCTCCTCTTTCCTTCATGTAACAACTGGAACTTCTCCAAGGGCAGTAAAGTGGTATAATGACTGTCCCTTGGCCATTGAGAAATTCTATGTGCACCTCCACCCCCACAGCAATGGGCAAAGAGACACCTTATTGATGGTGGTGGTCTTGTATCAGTCAGGGGCAGAGAAGATGGCAGTCTTTTGTTCATCCTAACTTGATGCCTGGTTTGGTGGCCAAAGGTGTTTTATACCTAGGACTCATTAAAAATAAATAAATGAAGGATTCCTTCAAACTCACTCTGTATATGCAAGGATGGCACCTGAACTCCTAGTTCTCCCGCCTCTACCGCCCAAGCGCTGAATTATAGGCTTGCTTCTTCACCAATCGAAACTAAGCTCAGTTTTGAATATCCTCGTTCTAAGTTAGGCATTTGTTTTTATTTTATTATTATTATTATTTACACATCTTAGTTTATATAACTGCCAAACAGGTCATTTTTCCGAAGGAGTTTAAACTAGATTTAAAATTTGCTTATCTCAGCTGTCTGGGCTATTTGACAGATTTCTAAAACAACAAACTATCTATCTATCTATCTATTTATCTATCTATCTATCTATCTATCTATCTATCTATCTATCTATCTATCAACAAGTGCTGTCCAGTGTGCTGCTGTGGCCGGAAAAATCTATAATAGAATTAAGTGCAGAAAATAACACATACATTGAAAATGCGGGTTTCTGGGCTCCCGGAATTCATGGAGATACCCTGCATGTCAGAGACGAAGAGATGAGGGTTGTCTTGTTCCCGTTTGGGAGTCCTGCACACCCGGGAACAGACGTTTTAAATGTGCGCCGAATTATACTGGCTAATTAGTCATATTTGCCACATGATGGTGGTTTTCTGATGTTGCCAGGCAGCTCTGAGAGGAGAAAAAGTAGAATGTTGGGAGCGTGGCCAGACTATATAAATATAAAATGTCAGCCTGTATATAAGCAAGGAAGTTTCTTACGCACATCCGTTAGCTCTCAAGATTCACCAGGGATAGAAAGTATCTCTGTGTGTGGGACCACCCATATGGGAACCCCGTAGCTTTTCTGAGATTAATTCAAGATATTTTTAGTAAATTTTTAAATTTAAATGTGTAAGCTCCAGAATCTTGTTTTAGAAGCTTTCCATCACCCTTAAATTTCCGATTTAATGTAATGTTACCCTGTAAAGCCCTGTTTAATGTTGTAAAAGCGTCTCCTCCCTCCCTCCTCTGGAAAAACCCTAGTGACACCTAGTGGTAAATACGTGCACTGCAAGTTGAAAGTTGATCAGGAGTTGCTGACTCTCAGATTGAAAAGTTCTACCGCAAGGATGCTAACCAGCTTCTAATATTTGTGGACCATCATTTAAAGCCACTCTTAAAATATTATCCACACGCTCATATAAAGTTATTGCTATATAAATATTCCTAGATGAGATGTCGAAGTTTTAATCAATCAATCAATTAATTAATTTTGGTTTGATTTTAGACAGGGTTTCTCTGTATACCAGAGCCCTTGCTGTCCCAGAACTCGCTTTGTAGTCCAGGCTGACTTGGAACTCACAGAGATCCTCCTGCTTCTGCCTCCCTGCGAATGACACTCTTTCTTTACAGGAGTGTTCTTTTAAAGTCCGGGGTTCTTAGGTACTCCTGGTTGATGCCAGAATTTGGTGTCTAGCCTACCTTCATGCAATGAAATGCTTTCCCCTCCACTCACGACATCAGTTATATTTACAGGGGTCGGGAAACAGCGGAATAGAAACTCAGAGCTGGGGACTTTGTAAAAAAAAACAAAACGGAACAATACATGAAAACAGAGCGCCGGTTCTTTTTGGGTATTGGAAGAATCGACGAGGGGTTTCGTTTTAGGTTAGCTTTTCTCTTGAGTGTGTGCATTTACTTACTATAGGATAAAGTATAATAAACTGGATTTTAAAAAGTTAACTTAAAGTTTCAAAATATTGCAAAAAGGTGCTTGAAAAAAAAAAACCTGACTTCCCGTGACTGCTGTTTCTCTCTCTTGCTCTCCTCTTAGTGTAGGCAGTAACTCCTGCAGACCTAGGCCGAAGTCCAGATCACCGGGGCGTCTGGCCTCAGCCTTCAGTGACTCTCTGCAGGAGACTCCGTAAGCTGTCTGGCTTCACGGAGCTCAAGATCCGAAGATTCATCAATACGGGATGGAGTGAGTTTTATATTCACAATACTCTTGGAAAGCAGCGCTTTTTTTTGCAGAAAAACCCTCCAGAGAAACAATAATTTTAGCAGGATCATGCAAATAGGAATGTATAATATATAATAGCTCAATTTAGATCCCAGTCCTGCCTCTATTTTTTTAAAAAAGAATTTGTTTGTTTTACCTTTTGTTTTATGCATTTATGTATCCGCGTGAGTGCGTGTGCGCATGAGTGTGGGTACCAGCTGTGGCCAGAAGGAGGCGCTGAAGTTACAAGAACTGGAGTTTCGTGCAGTTGCTCTCTGTGGTTCTGGTTATGGACTTGGGTCCTCTGCAGAAACAATATGTGTTTTCAACGACTGAGCCAACTCTCCAGCGCCCTGCCTCTGATGCCTACTGCCACGTGACATGGAAACAAACCATTTAACTTCCTCCTGAATGGCGTCAGCTGGTTAATGTCCCCGGTCGTGTGGAGATAATAAAAATACTTGTCTTGGGATTGTTTGGGGGAACTGGATGAATTGAACATTTATAGCATCGATGAAGGGATTAGCAAATGCCAGACCTCGCTGATCTTGTTTTACTATCGACTGTACTTTCTTAGAGGTTTTTGTGTGTGTGTGTGTGTGAAGTCTGTCTTAACTGTGTGTGACTCTGGGGACAATCTGATGATGTGACTCTAGCGGGTGCGGATGGGAACGGTAAAGTGGACTTTCCATATAGGACCCTTCTTGAGGAGGGTCGGCAATCGACAAGTGAGGCCTCATAAAGCTAAAAAGCTAAAGAAAAACCTACTTTGAGAGTAGGAAGACCACAGGATTATAAAAAAATCTCTGTCAGCTATACATCTGACACAAGACTGATATCCAGACTGTGATGGTTTGAATGTGCTTGGCCCAGGGAATGGCGCTATTAGGAGGCGTGGCCTTGTTGGAGTAGGTGTGTCACTGTGGACATGGGCTTTAAGATCCCCATCCTCCACCAAACCCTGACACTATTGTAGATGTCAAGAAGTGCTTGCTGACAGGAGCCTGATATAGCTGTCTCCTGAGAGGCTCTGCCAGAGCCTGACAAATACAGAGGCAGATGCTCGCAGTCAACCATTGAACTGAGCATGGGGACCCCAATGGAGGAATTAGGGAAAGGACTGAAGGACCTGAAGGGGTTTGCAACCCCATAGGAAGAAAAGCAATATCAACCAACCAGACCCCCCAAGAGCTCCCAGGGACTAAACCACCAACCAGAGTACACATGGAAGGACCCATGGCTCCAGCTGCATATGTAGCAGAGGATGGCCTTATATGGCATCAATGGGAGGAGAGGCCCTTGGTCCTGTGAAGGCTCAATGCTCCAGTGTAGGGGAATGCCAGGGTGGTGAGGTGGGAGTGGTTGGGTGGGCAGGTGGGTAGGGGAGCACCCTCATAGAAACAGGGAGAGGGGACATGGGATAGGGGATTTGTGGAGGGGAAACTGGGAAAGGGGATAACATTTGAAATGTAAGTAAATAAAATATCCAATTAAAAAAAAAATCCATGTCCTCACTTCCTGGAAAACAGTCTTCTCCAAGCTGCCTTTACAACAAGAGGTGGAACTCTTAGCTCCTCCAGCCCCATGTATGCCTGGATGCTGCCATACTCCTACCTTGATGATAATGGACTGAACCTCTGAACCTGTAAGCCAGCCCCAATGAAATGTTGTCCTTTATAAGAGTTGCCTTTGTCATGGTGTCTGTTCACAGCTATCAAACCCTAACTAATTCTTTATACACAGACTGTAAAAAGAATTAAAAAAAGAAAAGAAAGAGAGAAAGAAAGAAAAGGAATCAAACAAAGAAAAAAAAAACAAAAGCAAGCTATTTAAAAAATGGGCTGGAGAGGTGGCTCAGCGATTAGGAGCACTGACTGCTCTTCCAGAGGTCCTGAGTTCAATTTCCAGCAACCACATGGTGGCTCACAACCATCTGTAATGGGATCCGATGCGCTCTTCCGGTGTGTCTGAAGACAGCTACGGTGTACTCGTGTATGTAAAACAAACAAATACATCTTTTGAAAAATGGGCTTGGCATCTGAGCAGGGAATTCTCAAAAGAAGAAATGGAAAAAAAACGACGAAGAAATATCACACCACCGTAAATGAGCACGCAAGCGCAAACGACCTTGAGACTTCCTCTGACCCCAGTCTGGATGGCAAAGGTCAACAGGACAACCAACAATAAATTCTACAGGCGATGTTGGGGAAAGGGGACACCCATTTGCTCTCGGTGGGATTGCCACTCTGTAGACGAACGGGGAGGACTCCCAAATGAGGAGGACTCTCAAAATAAATCTGCCGTAAGACAAAGCTGGACCACTGGCTTATTGGCAGATGCCCAAAGGACTTGAAATCCCACGCCACAGATACTTGCTCAGCTATGTTAACTGTGGTTCTATTCGCAATAGCCAGGCAATGGAACAACCTACGCATCCTTCAGTGGATGAATGGATAATGGGGAATTTAGCACACATGCACTGTGTAATGATACTCTTCAGCTCGAAAGAGAGAAGAAATCATGAACTTGTCAGGTAAGTGATCTGGGAAAGATCACACAGCGCAAGTTAACCCAGAAAGAGGAACATCCCACGTTGCCTCTCATCAAAAGCTCTGAGCTTCAGATGTTCCCGGAACGGGCTATTTTCCTCCTGGCCCCATGTTTCCAGAATGATGGCTCTGATGCTCATTTTGTATTTACAGATACCCAGGCCATATAGCTAGGCATGTTTCCTGACTAGATCATAAGTTAATATCCCATTTATTCTGATCTGAGTTCTGCCACATGGCAGGTTACCTCTGCTTGGGTTCTATGCATGTGTCCTCCTCACACGTCCCCGGAGACTCTTCCCCAGGCTGACTCTATCCAAGAATTCAATCTGCCTACCAGATGTCCTACCTTCTATCCTACCCTTTCCTATAGGACATAGGGTTTTTTTTTTAAATTGACAGGTGATACAGCTATACAATAAACAAGATATTTTCTCTTCATGTTCCGACAGGAGTACCTATTGTGGAGTAACTACAGAGACCAGG